TTTTTTTTTTTTTTTTTTTTTTTTTTTTTTTTTTTTTTGGCCTCGCCTCGCCGCTTGCAAGGATCTTAGTTCCTGGACCAGGGATTAAATCCCAGCCCTCGGCAGTGAAAGCGCCGATTCCTAACCCCTGGACCACCAGGGAATTCCCCTCATTTGGTTCTTACATAAACCTTTTGAGGTTGATACTTTTATTATCCACATTTTACAGATAAGGAATTAAATTTCACAGAAGTTTGGAGACTTTCCCAAAAGTGTCGTAGGAGAACTAAAAGTTGAACCCGGGTCTACAGAATCCAGAGTGCAGGCTTACAAACAAACAACAAACAAAACCAACCCCAAGCCCTATACCGTAACTCTTTGTAGAAGCACTGAAGTGCAGAATTCAGGGCAAATTTGATCTTGAGCTCCTTGTTTTTCTTCCGAAGATGCCTGAAATCCTGGAAGCTCTTGTTAGAACATGGCCTCTCCTATAACACGGAGTCTTCGGGATGGTTCTAGATAGTGATGTTCCAAATCAGAGTAGCACTGATCCATACAGTACTGGATGGAACTTCTCTCTGCACCCATAAAGTAAAAAGTAAATAAATAAATAAACCTAAAAACCTTTTTTTTTACACTGAATATTGTTCCATCTTAGCAAGTGTGCCCTTTCCTATCCAAAAGAGAAATACTCCCTAAGGAACTCTAGACTCCTGCTGTCAAAGTCTAGACGACTGTGGGTACACCTGTCAATACTCCAGTGTATGCAATGTTTGGGAAGATCAGACGAATCCCTGCAGACGAAAGTACTTCTGAAAACTCTAGGGTTCTATGTAGGTGAGTCTGCCACCTTCAGATGAAAAGAAAACCAATAAACTTGTTTAGATGGGCAAGGAGTGTCCAAACTTATACTTGTATTTAGGAAGGACTTATAGACATACATGAGAATCTTAATGAGAGCTGGTTTGAAACATCTCTAGGTATCACCTTATCCCAACCACCACCAAATTATTTTACTCTCAAAGCCCTTTTCATTAAGCATGAATTACATTTTTCTATACTTTTTTTTTATTTCTCAAAGCTATTATTTATTCTGTACAAGGTTCCACTATACATCACACATTCTTCTCCTCTTGCTTACAGAGTAAACAAGTGTACACCAGCCCTTTGGATCAGGTTCACAGGTCTTCCCTGGAGAAGGGTGTCAGGCCAGTTAGACTCATATAAGTTTAGCTCTGGGTTGTTGCATGAGCCAAAGCCCTTTTGTTACCCTCATGAACCTCTCCCACTGCTCAGGAGCCTTCAGGTTGTGTAAGTGCCCATGAGGCAGGACCCCTCCTGGCTAGGGCTGCCCGAGGAACTGTCCATCGGAAGGCGCTCTGGTTGGAAAAGTGATCTCTCTGGGGATGTAACTAGATCAAGATCAAATGAAGCAAGACTGGTCCTGAAGGGTCAAATCTTAGAAACTCGGAAGGTACCTAATACGTGCATCAGTTACAGCAGGAGGCAGAGGGATGAAAAGATACCTGGCAAAGTGGTCAAGAAGAGGGTGGAACTTGCCAGTGAAAAGGGTGGTTCAGGAGCTAAGTCCACAAGCTCTGGGCATCTGCCAGCATGACCCTTCTAATTTTAATGTTTGAACCAGAGTGATCCATGAAGTGGGCCAAGTTAGGACACAGAGAATAAGTAGACCTCTTATAATTTCTTAATTATTTATCAAAATTATCTTTTGGTTCATTTAATTACTATGGATTCTTCTTTATAAAAATAATCTCATTTTTGAAAGGTATGCCATCTTCAGAGAGAGCATGCAGTTTTATATCCTACTCAAGCCTCCAAAGTACGAATGTGTTGTCAGAATCTGCTTTGGATGGGATGAAATCACCCGAGGATGGCACTGAGGCTGACAGGCAGGGCCTCTTGGAGGCTGTACCTGGTGAGAGTGAGTTGGTGGAGGAAGGAGGGTGGTCATTCTAGTGCAAGGTCTAAGGATTAACTATGAGGGCCCAGAAATTCTATCTAATCAATACTCCAGGATCAGTTAGTCTTTGGGCACTAATTCATAATGTCTTAACCCATAAGAGGCTGAAGAATAAATAGTATTGACTATTTACAGGGAGGGTCATCATCCTTTTCAGCCGCTAATGTGTACACGCTCTCTGTCTAGTTAACTCTCTTCCAAGTAATAGGGTTCTTGGGAAGCTGAGTCTGTTATAAAACTATGGACATAGCAAGGAAGGGTCTGGAGGGGAAATGCTTCTCTACTCCAGAGGCTGACCAGAAATGCTCATGCCTCCCTTCCTGAATAGGTGCTAAAAAACATGCAGAGTTCCTGCTCTCAGAATCTCCTTTCTCTAGACTCTAGGTCCAGCCGTCACCTGTCTCTTCAGGTATCTTGACCCCACTGGGGCTCTGGATTCCTTCATTTGCATTCATAACCTCAACTCCCAGACCGTACTTTAACCCTTCCAGCTCTGATCTAGAAACATCCTGAGGTCTAAGGCAACTTCATCATTTCATCCAAGGTGTATGGATATTATGACCAATAGCTATATCGACAACAATTAACATTTACTGGGCACTCGCCATGTGACAGGCATGGGGATAAATGTTTTATCTTCATTAACTCATTGAATTTTCATAACAACTCTCTGAGGTAGGTACTAATAATTAGCCCCATTGCATAGACAAGGAAGCTAAAGCTTTGGGTGGTAACTTGCCCAATATTACATGGCTGTTGAGCAGGGAAGCCAGGATTCAAGCCTAAGTCATTTGGACTCCAGAGCCTGCGCTCTTAACCATTAGGCAGCACGGCCTCCAGGAGTGACCTTGATCCCCTCCTGAGAGCATCTCTCTGTGAACTCCTACTCACTGCATAAAATCAATGAAGACAAGTGGTCATGAGTGCTTTCTTTGTTGAAATTTAAGCTTAAAAGCAAGAGGTTTGGAGTGTAATTATTAGAAATCAAGCCACAATCTGGGAGTAAATAACAACAGAAAGAGACAACGAGAGTTCTATCTGAGAACCCATTTATAAAGGTCAAGGAGTCCACACTATACGGCTCACAGTGTAACATTTTGAAAAGCTCGTACTGTGATGAGTTTAGGTGAAATGCTGAGCAAGACACAGAATCACACATAAGACCCTGCCCACACTGGGAAGGCAGCCAAGAATTCCTGCCACCTCCACCCCAAGGTTGGGTGCCCTAATAAAGGGCACAGAGAGGACCACCTCCCTCCAGAGACTGCTTGTCATTTCTCACACTGGCGGGGGGGGGGGGGGGGCGTTTCCTAATGAATAAACAAATCAGAGTGTTTCTATAACTTGCTATGTGATTCAGAGTCAGTGAAGCAATAAGCCCCGGGTGCTTCAAATATTTCATGTCCCAGATAGTTTTTCAGAGAAACAACATGGAAAAGAAGTTCTAGGGCTTGTTTCACTGATCTAACCTTCTCTGTTTTCTCACATATGATTCAAAATTTAAAAAAAAAATCCAGATGGGAGTGGAGACAGCTTGAGTTAATGTCGATCAAGAAGAAAATGGGAAAAAAATTAAAATCACAGATAACCCCCCAAACCTCATTACAGCCATCAGGATTCTCCCCCTTTAGATATCTTCCAGAATGGTTGACGCATTGTCAACAATTACTTTATTGAGCATTGTAAGGTGCACAGCATTGTACATAGCTTTAAAATGTCAAATTGACTTTTGTCACACCCTCTGTAAAGGATTCCCCAGTGTCCACGGTTTCGTGGTTTTTCCTGCTGTGCTTCAGGCTCATGCTGTTAGTACCATTGCAGGCTTACCATGATGTGGTACATGGATCAGCTGCACCATGTCCTCACCACTAGATGTTTGAACTCCTCAAACATGGGGTCCATGTATCGTCGACCTCTGCAACTTTGCTGTCCAAATACACATTTGATGGATGAATGAATGACCAGGGTTTCACTCTAGTTCCTTCTCCTGACACCGTCGTCTGCATTTAGGGGCAAGTGTTGATGCTGAGAAGCAAACACTCAAAAGGCACAATGGAAAAGAAAAGTGTCCAAAGACATGTCTGATCCAGACTAGAAAATCAGCTCCACAGTGATGAAGAGTTGGCTGACGTCCCCAAAGGCCTGAGAATACAACGGAGCCACAGAAAAATCTTCAAGCCAGAGATGGGGCTCATCAACCCAAACTCCCACCCCAAAGCCCAAAGTAGATCACTGGGAACAGGCCAGCAGTCCAGCCAGTGAACCAGAGGCACAGCCAATACCAGTGGTCCAGAGCAAAGGGTCTCAGCCACCTAAACTTAGGGATATTTTTTCCTTTCCAGATTTCAAAAAAGGCCACACCATAATAAATAAATAAGACGCTAAACAACTGGAACTGAAAAGGAAGACATTTTCAAATGGTTCTCAAGCAGCAGTTCAAATACCTTGCTCCTTCCATGGTGCCAAGGGACCCAAGCTACCATGGATGCCCTCTTTGGGTCTTTCAGTATGCAAATAAGTACTCTGAGGGGATATCGAGTCCATGGGAGGCAGTAAGCATGATGTTATGCATGGATGGCTAGCTGTTTCATCATATAGGCCAAACCCATTTGATCCATCAGAGCCTAGTCTGTTTGATGGATGATGGAGAAAACTCTGCCCTGGTCCAGGGAGGCAGCTGGACCACAGATCTGACATCCCAGGTGTGACGGGACATATGCAGAAGACCTTGGCTCCTGATATGCCATCACCTAGCATCAGGCCTCAGCTTCCTCATCAAATGAGGCTTTGGTCAGACCATCTCGCTGGTCCCTTCTGAAATTCCCTTCCTTTCGTCCAGCAGGATTCTTGACCCATCAGTACCAAGGCAAACCCTTGCTCCTCGTGTACTTTCACGCTGCTAAAACGAAGGAAAGTCCGACTACAGATTTTTATGCTCACTAACAGAAGTGTTGGTAAAATACTGCTTCAGAGTCTTAGGTAATCTGGTGCATAGCTCCCTATGACACGTTCGCAGTCTGGTGTCATACTACCTTACCTTGCATCACAAATTGATCAGGATGGCAGCTTGCTGGCTGCTCTTCCACTCTGGGTCCAATTCAATTATTTTTCTACAAAATGTAACTCTCACTACACTCACATTTCTTGTCCACCGACTTGATGCAAATGGTTGGCCCACCCTTCTCTCCTTGTTGCCTTTCTGGACCCCAAGTTTCTGCATCCAACTTTCAGATGCATGGTGGCCTGCAATCCCCAAATCAGTAGTTTACCCTTGGTCCTTTTCTATTATACCCCACAGCAATTCTTTAGAAAACTCAGAAAAATCCAGGTGATTCCATCTCAGCTGTGGAAGGCAGAGCAAAGTCTGGGAGCTTCAGCTTCTTCCTGTCAATCATTTTCAGTGCAAGATTTAAAATGACAAGTGCTTAATCAAAAAATCGGGGATTAGCTCTCACACAGAACTTGAGTGAATGGGAGAGTTATGTTTTCTAGCCTCAAACACACTAAAAAATAATTTCCTGAGATAATGATTCTGAATCAAGGTTATCCATATGTAAACTTATATATACGTATATGGATTTTTTTTTTTCCGAGATGGCCAGAAGAGTTTTTAGTTGGGGGCTCTTTTTTATACCTTTCTACCAAAGCAATCATTTAAGGACAGAAGTCAGAGTGTTTTACTACTTTCTACTTTTGGTATTGGGTACTCGTTTGAAGTGTAAGAAAGAATGATCTAGTATGTTGCAGAATATGAATTTTCATATTAGCTTAACATGTAGGTCTTTGAGCTCTGTCTTCTCAGCCAGAGATTTAATATATGTCAAGTTAATCCAAGCTTGGCTAAGGATATCCTCGGACCTACAGCACCTACTCAGAGCAGGGGTCTGACCTATGCACTCCCTTTTTTTTTTTACCTGGGAGGACTGTACTATAGCATTCAAGGGGCAAACAACCTTAGTCCTTGCATTCAGAATTTGTTATGCCACGTTTGCCATAAAATGCTTATCATTACCTAAAAGAAAAAGTGCAGCGAAATTCAACTTTGAAGAAAAAAAACAAAACAAACTTACAGGTCCTTGGGAGCCATGGAAAGCTAAGAGATATAGCAGATTCTATGTCCTAAGAAAGTTATTTCAACAGGGAAGCATGTCTTTACCTCACCAGGTCAGCTGAGTTGGGAAGAAAAAGAAGCAAAATGATAACAAATTGGCCAGGAATATTTATATCAGTTTCGCCTTAAGTCTCAGAGATTAATAGGAGGAACAAGACTCCTTTCTACTTTTCTTGGAAAGCCTTTGGTTTAAAGTTGTCCTCCTTTCCTGTAATTTTTAATTATCACAGATGAACACCTGAGTCTCTCACACGGTCACTTGTATCAGAGTGAATAACTGAAGGTGATGGCTTAGAAGTTCACCCACATCACAGCAGGCGACCTACACATAATCTCACCTTGAACACTTCTCGTGGGTGAAGTCAAAATTGTATCATCTTCCTTTGCAAAAACAGGCAGACACCCCCCACCAAAGGCCAAAATATTACAATAATTGACAGTGAACAGAAACCCATTATACAGGCAAAATATTCCAGCTGTCTCTATTAAAAAAAAAAAAATCAAATTCACTGTGACTGGGCACTCAGTTTTTTTTTTTCTATAACTCCCCAGGATTGTCAAAAGTAATCTTGTAGCCAATCTGCTTGCCGACAGTAAAAATGACCTGAAATAGGCCACCCATGGTGCCAAAAGCAGTGTCAAAGAACAAAGAGATGATGCCACCAAGGCCCATTGCAATGTCCTTGCACACAATTGGAACTGCGCCTATGGTGTACACAGGAAAAGTGGCCACGTCCACAAGGACTCGGACAGGGATGCCCACGATACGGCAAACAACCTTCAGCAGGCAACAAAGGATCCGGAGAATGGCCCTGGTGATCCTGACCATGACTTTGAGTACCTTCCAGGGAATGCTGGCCAGCTCCTCCCCAATGGTCAAGAAGTAGGAGACGGTGGCTGACCCCAGGCGGTAAAGACAACTTTCTAGACCACGAGTCACCTGTTTGGTGACATACCACAGGAAATACACAAGGTACTTCAGGATTCTGACTGCAAGGAAATAAATTAATTGGCAAAGCTTGATGAATGGGGTAGCAGTGAAGCCCAAGAGTTTTCTCAAAAGGCTACTCCTTTCCCCAGGTGCCTCTGGAGGCAGCAGAGTGGTTCTGGTACTCCTCATGCTGGAGAGGGTCCCAGAGTCCCCTTCAGAGTCTACCCTTCGCTCCTCATCCTGGACTTGGTTGACCATTTCCAGGATTTTTTTCATCTTCTCTGTGTCTTGTTCACTTTCCCCACAGTTGTTCTGGAACAGCTGAGGCGTGAATGGAAGCAGTTTCTCAAGTTCTTTCACCATCACATCTTCTATGACCTCCCGGTCCCCGGTGTGCTTGACAAAGCCCATGGCCCAGCCTCCTCCAGGGACAGCACAACAGGCTGCCAGCCAAACAAACTCCGGGATGGTCACTTTGTCTTTGACCTTGAGGTCTGAAGGCACGGCACCTGCGATGATGTAGAGCTCTTCCCCATCGCCACACTGTGGGCTCAGCGCCCGGTCCATTAGGCTGTTGAGATTCACGTACCACCGTTTCTGGAAGGATGGGGTCATTGGAGCTGCATTTGTGAGAGTGAACGTGGCCGTGTCGGGGTCACTGCTGAGGGAGAACGGGTACAGCTGTCCTGTCTGGTATTCAGAACCCAGGTAATCTGCATGCAAGGCTTGCTTGCTTCCCAGATTGTTCACAGAACTGATGGCATCAGCCTCATCCATCACCTCCTCAAGGCTGCTGTTGGGGTCATCAATCTGAAAGAAGAAAGAGAGGTTGAGATGCGTCCCTGTTCACAGCAGACAGGGTGCCCTTGGATCATTCTGCCAAGACTCGAGCAAAGTTCCTATCACACCAACACTTGCAAGGCTTAGGTTTGGAAGGGTACACACACTTCATTCTAATATCTCACAATCCTGGTGTCTGAAAACATCTTTCAAATGGGCTGTTTCCTATTTCACTCTCTGTGTACACTCCACTCCTGCCCTGCAGTAATACCCCATCACACACTCACAAATACACCATCAGGACATTGGTTTTCAGTCTGCTGTGGTTTTATAAATTTCATAGCCCTTTTTGGGAATATTTTTCCATGAGATTCAAATCGATTTTAAAAATGAAAACAAGGGGAAAAGTAAATCTCAGCAGGCCCATAAAAATCATAACTGTAATTCAGATAGTCAGCCACAAATGTTAGCTGCAATTTAAAGAACATATTCTTAAATGAAATTTACATACTTTGGGATATACGAAAAACATTTAACTCTAATCAGAGCATTTAAATCAAATGCGGTGGGGGCGGGCCTTCCCTGGTGGCGCAGTGGTTAAGAATCTGCCTGCCAATGCAGGGGACACGGGCTCGAGCCTTTGTCTGGGAAGATCCCACATGCTGTGGAGCAACTAAGCCCATGAGCCACAACTACTGAGCCTGCACACCTAAAGCCTGTGCTCCGGAACAAGCGAAGCCACCGCAATGAGAAGCCCATGCACCGCAATAAAGAGTAGCCCCCGCTCACCGCGACTAGAGAAAGCCTGCACGCAGCAACGAAGACCCAACGCAGCCAAAAATAAATAAATTTTAAAATAAATAAATTTTAAAAATAAATCAATCAATCAAACAGGGGAAAATGTATAGATTATTGTCAGTTATTAGATACTTCCCAGGCCAAGCTAAAATTAGACCAAGTTCTCTTTGAATTTCATCTCCTCATAATATTTGCTATCATTAACAATGCATTTTCTGTCCAGGCCAATCTAGCTATGTGTTATATATCAATAATGATCAATATATACATCCCTCTTGGTTCTGGTTTTTTTTTCTTTTCTTTTTAAATTCAGCAGTATAATACATACTTTCCCTTTGCCAATCTGAAAAGATGAAAGGAAGGAGCCCAGGATTAACCTAGAACTCTATTTTTTGCTCCCAAACTAGGCTATAAATTCCTTGACACCAGAGACCCTGTATATAGGACGCAGTCAAGGACTGACACCTACTAGAATCTCAAGGCACTCTCGTTCATCTGAGATGGTCATCACGGCAGTATTTATAATAGCAGGAAGTTGAATCAACCTACATTTTCAGAAACTGGGAACGGTTAAATAAATGGTGTTATATCCATTAAAGAAATATCTCAAAGCCATTAAAAAGCACTTGTAATAATGGGGAAATATGTGCTATAATGTTGAAAGGAAAAGGCAGATTATAAAATTAAATGATAACAATTTTTTAAATTCTAAAAATAGGCATGAAAAAACTTTGGAAGGAAACACATGAAAATGTCCACAATGGTTGTTTGACTCCTGAGGGTGAAAGTGATACTTTTTTTTCCCCCTATTTTCTTGTTTCTCTCCCTGTACCTCTCCTACCCACATCAACCCACAAATTATTTATATGTTATTTTCAAAAGGAAAAAAAACAAAAAAGAAACTAATTAAAATAAGTAAATTCTTACTAATTGATTCCCTAGGTTTAGACTCGCTAAACCTGTCTCTAAATCCAAGGGAGTCAAGGTCATGTGATTGTTGCACCTCCTGTCGGGATGGCAACCAACTCTGCATTTCTCCAGCTCTGCAATGGCAAAGGTAGGCATGCTCATGCATGTCTGTGTAGGGTTAGCAGGGCAACAGATGAGCAAGTTGGTATGAAAGCAGGAATATTCACTGAAGTCTAATGATGAAGTAAGCCATAGCCTCACCCTTCAAGGTTGTTCTGTCCCTTCCCCCAGTCTTAGAATTAGAAACGCTCCTGGATGGTCTCCACTCCTACCACATCCTCACAGGACAGAAATAAGAAGCACATTCATTTTGCAGAGCGGCTGCCGCTGCTCTTCTATAGCTGAAAGATACACCCTATGGAAATATCAACTTCATTCCTGAATCATGAGATCAAGCTATGACAGAGCCAAGATTATGGAGTCTTGGGTGGAAGGTCAGGAATTTTAGGATGCATGTTTCTCCATGGTTACTAGGGAACTGTGTCTGCATTTAGCCTGGTGTAGCTGCTTTATCCCATCTAGCGGAAGTCTGCAGCTGGTTTTTTAATTGGTAGCTGTGTGACAGAGCACAGGTCAACACAGTGGTTCGCCTTCTGCCCGAGAGCCACCCAGGGATGAAATAATGCCTACGAGGACAGAAGGCAGGCTGGAACACGAGAAAAGAGAGATTCTTGGATGAGCAAGGGGAAGGAACAAAAGAGAGTCAGGCAGGAAGGGAAAAGGGGAGGGAAAAAAGACAGGGAGAAGGCAAAAAAAAAAAAAGAGAGACTCGTGTGTGTGTGTGTGTGTGTGTGTGTGTGTGTGTGTGTGTGTGTAAGAGACAACACAATATCCTGCTCTTAGGCAGAAACCAGGACTGTGGGTTGATTTACTCCCAAACTTCAGAGCATGGTCTCCCAGCTGCCAAGGTCAGAGGAGACTGAGCTGGTTGCTTCTGCATCTTCTCATGCCACTTGTTCAAGGGGCTGCCGTGGTTAAGCCTTTTCTGCCCACAGTTCGCAGGTACATGGGAAATGGGCCAGTATGAACTGAAGTGGTTAGGAAGGCCAGGGCCCAACTCCACAATGGGCGCTGTGCACCTCCCTGCCCTGGGCCTCCCTAGGCAAAGCAGAAACTAAACAATATGCTCTGGATGTGCAGGCAGAAGAGAGCACATCTTCCCTCCCCTTCCCCTTGCTTTCTTCAGAACCCCGTATCCATGGTCACTGTATTCTTATGAACCCCAAATTTGGCCCTATGGTTTGATGACAAGGTAGACTATAGTGTTTGAAATCAAGACAGAATGCCTGAATTCTGTACCTACATAGTGATATAACAGGAGGTCAAGAACTAATTTTTTTTTTAACTGCCAAGTAAATGCTTTCAATATAACATTCTACAGAAGGTACTTTTTAGCTGATTTTACAAACGGGGAAACTAAAACACAGAAAGATGAAGTAACTTTCAAAAGATATCCAATAATTAGCAGGACAGGATCTGAACGGAGGTCAGTCTTTTTATTCCTAAGGTACATATTCTTTATTACTAAGCCATATTTTCGCCCATCTTAAAGAACACTGCTGTACCAGTTTTCTCCACCAGAGAGTAAAAAATAACCACTGAAGTCTCCTTTTCTCTCTGTGTCACAGAATAAATGAAGTTCCTTAAGATTTCAGGGAGAGAAGCTGATGTCTGAGCCCCTGGGATTGCAGTCCCCAGAATGGAGAGAGAGTGGAAAGGAGAAGGTAAAAGGGTACATGTACAGGCTGGCCCTCATGCTTCCTTTCTGCCTTTGCCCAGAGCACATGGAAGCTGAGCCTCTAGCTTCACAGTCTAAGAAATGTGGCAGCACAGGCAGCAGGCAACTGGCCAGAGTAGTTTCCAGAGTACTACTACCCTTAGAAACTGGTCAGCTGGCTGGTTCCCCCAGAAGCACTGTTCCTGTTAGCACCTCACTTGGCTACTTGCTGTTTTTCTCTACATCAGCAGCTGTAACAGGGAACAGTAAACACAGCAGAAGTTCATGGAGGAAGACTGTGTCAGGCATTCTAGGCTTGTCTTGTCTGGCCATAGTTCAATACACTAATGTATATAATGTATATAAATTAGTATGGATGCTACCAGTCAAAATTAAAACATAAAATAAATAATAGAGAAACCTCCCAAGGCTTACCTAATACAGTCTTAAATCTCTGACAAAAATACCAAAGAATGTTTTATGAGACCACACACTGATCTTCAATGAACCCTCTATTCTCTCCTTTGAGAATCCAATTACATCAAAGCCTCTCCTTCTATCCTTTTTGTGACTTATGTTCTTTTTCATACTTTATACCTTATTAACTTTGTATATTGCATTCCAGGCGAGTCCCTAGATCTATCTTCCAATTCACTAAATCTCTCTTTAGCTATGTTTAGTTTACTGCCTACTTTGTTGAGGTGTTTTTCTTTTTGTTTTTCATTTCAATGAATCTTTTTTTCTTTTCTAGCATTTCTATTTGTTTCTATTTCATAGTCTCCTTTTTTATTTATTTTTCCTCTCTTGAGGAATTCTTTTTTATCTTTCAATAGTTTAGACATTCTTAAAGTCCCTTTAAGATCTGTCTATTTTATTTGGTTTTTCAGTTTATTTTGTTGCTTCTATTGGTTGACTTCAAGGTGGTATGTATACTTAAGTGCTTAGCAGTTTTTGCTCATAAGCTTGTCTTCATAAGAGGTCCATGGTGTTTTGTTGAAAAAAAAAAAAGGCAAAAATGAAAACAAAAACAAATCTAATAGGATTGCTTCCACAGTTGCCTCTGCCAGAGCCCTAAAGAGTTCAATGATTCTGCACTAGTTTCTGAGTTATTTTCTCAGTTCAGGGTTTCCACATGGAGAAAGCAGTGCACATTTGGACCCATACAAAAGAAAGATGATGGCTTTAAGCTTATTTCTGGAGGGTGACTATTTCCACTAATGACATGATGTGGGCAGCTACTTCCTATAACAACTTGCAGGTAGTTTTCATGCCTGGTTCACCAGTGCTGCAACAGTTTGCCAGCCCCCAGCTTTACCTGGTGAGCCTAGTTCCAGACCCATGTCATGAATAGGTTATGTAATCTTGACTCCTGTCCCCAGGCAGGTTAGAGCCCTAGTCCCTACCATCCCTGTGGCTTCCCACATATAGCTTTGGCTATTGATTTCTTATATATTTCCGGCACCTGAAAATTCTTCTTACTTTTTTGCTGAAATATGAATTTAATTTAAATACATACATATAATATTTTTAATACAACATTTCTGTG